GAGCACCGAAGAGGTTCACAGAATGTAGTATCGGAAATAGCAAAAATTTGATTTGTTTATTTCTTTATTAATATTCAAAAGGTGATGCAAGAACCTAGCACTGACAGAACCCGGAACGATAGTTTGTTGGATTAAAGCATCTTAGATTTAAAGCATCTAGAGTTCTAACAAAGTTTTCACATGTTGTATGACTACCGTCTGCACCATCAGAATCCTCTTCTGAGCTCGATGGAAATACATATCATCATATGTGTTTTTATAGATTAAACTATTTGTCATGGTTTCCATTGTTTATTTTTACAATTAATTCGAAACAATTTCGTTTAACAGTTGTGCCAAACATTTTATTTATTTGACATATTTTGACCAGTGATACCAACTTTTTTATCGGTTATAGACAATTATCGATGAGCGTTTTGTTGTTAGTCTAAGCGCAGATACGTATGCGCGTAAAAAAAAACACAGCTATTACCTTGAAATGGCTCCAAGTATATGGCTGCCATGAGTAAAAGATTTGACTCAGTTTAAGGAGAACATAATTCCTCAGTTTTTAGGAAACATTTACTTGCAATTTCATCCCCCGTGAAATGAATAAGTATGTCATTTTGCTCGTGGCGCTCAAACAGTGGCAATGGCCGACGGAGCAAAGCTATGGAGTGCTAGTCGAGAGATGTACATGTATACGAATGTGGTTACAAGAACAATAGTAGCGCGCCAAGCTGTTGCCTCTCCAAACCAATCTACTGCTCAGCCGACTAAACAACAAAGAAGCGGGAGTCCACCGTCAAATAACTGAAAAGAGAGCATAATTTGTTGAATAAATTATCTACCGGACACTGTCCTCACAGATAAGCAGGAAAAAAATAACACGTTATACAAAAATAGTCATAATATTTATACATACAGGATAACAACAACATATGTGTAAATTATTTGAAGATAAAATAATCATTGATATTAATTTTAAAACGTCCTCTACATGAGTAAAGGTCGACATAATTACAAATAGAGTTACATAGACAAATGGATCTATGAATGGGCCCATTCTTAGCAAATTTGGTTTTTCGCGTTGGTACGTAAAAAATGTATTTTTCTCTTAGAAGCCTCTCCGGCGCATAAAAAGGCATAAGCGAAAGTAGTTCTGGGGAATCGATTTTATTATCGCATATATCCTTGATGAAAAGAATACTACAAATTTTTCTCCTGCTAGAAAGGTATTGTAAATTCAGTATTCTGAATCTCAGTTCGTAAGATGACATAGATTCATAAGAAAACATGCGTCGAAGGGCAAATTTAGTAAAACGCCTCTGAACTCTTTCTATGCGGTCAGAGTGAGTGACAAAATCTGAGTCCCAAATAATGCACGCGTATTCCAAGATAGATCTCACCAAGCATCTATAAAGACTTTTAAGTGTGAGTGGATCTAAAAAGTTCTTTGAATTACGTTTGAGANGATAGATCTCGCTAAGCATGTGTAAAGACTTTAAGTGTGAGTGGATCTAAAAAGTCCTTTGAGTTACGTTTGAGAAAACCCAATTTAGATTTTGCCATACAGACTATATGTTCTCTGTGAAAATCGAAGTTTAGTTTCGAGTCTAAGTACACACCTAAATCCTTGATAGTGGTTACACGATTAAAGGGCTCGCCGTCATTAAATGTGTAATTATACTTTATACAGGCATTTTTAAGAGAAAATATAATAATGTTGCATTTTGAGAAGTTTAAAGAAAGACCATTGGCACTTACACCAGTTTATCAGCGCTGATATGTCTAGCTGTAGTCTAACACAGTCGTCTAGGTCTTGTACTCGATAATATAGTTTAAAATCGTCGGCGTACATCAAACAGTTGCAAAATTCCAAAGATTGGCTGATGTCATTTATTAATATTGAAAAAAGCAAGGGGCCTAAATGACTTCCCTGTGGAACCCCCGATGTGGCAGTTATAGATTTAGAGAGGTTGTTGCCAATTTTATCCACCAATTTTCTGTCTTTTAAGTAGGACTCAAGCCATTTTAAAGCGTTGGAGTGAACTCCAAGTTTCTCGAGTTTAATAAGAAGCAAAATATGGTTTAGGCTGTCAAAAGCTTTCACATAGTCCGTGTACAGAAGGTTCACTTGTTCGCCCTCCTCCATCGCATTGACCACGAAATTTTGGAATATCGCAAGATTTGTATTGGTGGATCTGGCTGGGTGGAAACCGTGCTGCTGCGTAACAATATAACTCTTAAATGCCCCAAAGAGCTGGTTGTTGACAATTTTATCCAACAGCTTTGGAATGGTAGACAGTTTTACAATGGGGCGATAGATTTCAACTAAATTTCGTAGGCCCGACTTATAAATTGGGGAGATAAATGAGGTTTTCCACTCGTCAAGGAAGTCACCGCTTTCAATGGACTTACTGAAAATTTTGGTAAGGGGCAGATAAAGAGAGATTGCACAATTTCTTAAAAACAAGGGCGGCAAAAGGTCATATCCTGCTCCTTTTGAAACATCTAAGTCTAAAAGCGCTTCCAGAACTTGTTCTTCAGTGATAGCAAACTGTCTAATATTTATACATTCCAGTAAAGTAGAGGTGTAAAACGACGTGGTGACAGTATTAAATCTATCAAATACCGACCCAAAGAATCGAGCGAAAAGTTCACACGATTCTTGTGCTGTGGAAGCGATAGAGTCTCCAAATGCCATGGATTTCGGGATGCCATTATCTTTACGTTTTGAGTTCAAAAACAACCAAAATGATTTAGGGTTAACTTTAATATTATTCTCTAATGAATTAATGTAGGGGAATTAAACGAGGATTTCCGGGTTTTTAATAAAGAACAATTTATTTTACTTTCTAGACAAGTTTGCGCTATCGTGGTTCTTACTCAACTAACTCTTACTCGCTATTTCTTAAGTCTAACTGATTTCTACGATGGACGCTTCGTTCTGTTTTCGTCAAAAGTAGGGTTGCCGCCGTACTATTTTGTAAGTCCTTAACTAAAGGTTACCGCCTCACTATGATATCGATCCTACATTAATGTATTTGTCGTATACAAATTTTGATAAGCATTCAAATTCTTTTCTACGCTGGACAAACATTTTTTTATCGTCGATGGAACCAGTTTCTCTAAATTTTTTNCATTCCAGTAAAGTAGAGGTGTAAAACGACGTGGTGACAGTATTAAATCTATCAAATACCGACCCAAAGAATCGAGCGAAAAGTTCACACGATTCTTGTGCTGTGGAAGCGATAGAGTCTCCAAATGCCATGGATTTCGGGATGCCATTATCTTTACGTTTTGAGTTCAAAAACAACCAAAATGATTTAGGGTTAACTTTAATATTATTCTCTAATGAATTAATGTAGGGGAATTAAACGAGGATTTCCGGGTTTTTAATAAAGAACAATTTATTTTACTTTCTAGACAAGTTTGCGCTATCGTGGTTCTTACTCAACTAACTCTTACTCGCTATTTCTTAAGTCTAACTGATTTCTACAATGGACGCTTCGTTCTGTTTTCGTCAAAAGTAGGGTTGCCGCCGTACTGTTTTGTAAGTCCTTAACTAAAGGTTACCGCCTCTCTATGATATCGATCCTACAACCGGCCTCCTGATTGGTTATTCGCCCTCGAATAACTAGCCCCATTTTTCATGTCTTCTGCTACAGTCACAGTCCTTCTTGGTCCTTCCTGACTTCCCACTTTTTCCACCTCGTATCGTCCGTGATTTAGTTTAACGACTATTTTGTACGGCCCTAGATACTTCGGCCTCAACTTCATACCCCCCAAATTGGGTTCTCTTAATAGCCACTAAGTCATTTATCTCATATTTGGTATCTTCCTTACGTCCTTTATGAAATGACTTACAGTTTTCTTTTTGTATCTGTTCAATGTTTCCGCGAGCCTTGTCTCTTGCCAAATCCCGCTCAACATTCAATTCCTCTACTTCTAGTTCGCTTAAAATTGTTTGTAAATCTGAATAGTCCGGTATACGCATATTTAATCCTGTTAAGATTTTGAAGGGTGTTATCTTCGTACTGCGAGGTGCGGTATTGTTTTAAATCTGTTGCACTCTTGCGACCTGACAGTACCACTGAGCCGGACTATTCTGACATTTCTTTGCCAACATTGGAACAACCGTTCTGTGGACGCGCTCCACTTGCCCGTTACCGCGAGGTACACCTGTTTATGTATATTTTCCCTGTCACAATACTCTTTAAAAGCATTTGATGTGAATGCAACCCCTCTATCCGTTACAATTCGTGTCGGGTTAAAAAAAACTGATGATTGCTTCTCTAACCTGTCTAATACCTCCTCCGCTCCAGTTGATTTAGTGGATATAACCAAACGAATTTGGAAAATCCGTCTATTATGACCAAAATGTGGTTGTATTTTTTACGCGTTTCGGTGAGTGGACCCACACGGTCGACGTGATAAGTACCTAATGGCTCAGACGCTTTATCGATTGGCGTCAACAAACCTTCTTTCTTACCTCTTTTCGCGTCTATCACGATACACTCAACGCAAGAATTGACAATTTTCCGTACTTTCTCGCTCGCATTTGGTATATAGTAATTCCTTTCTACCAGTTCGAGAGTTTTTTGGCCGCAAATTGACCCTGATTATGAGCTAGTTTGATAACCTCATCCTCCATACTAGTAGGTACCACTAATAATTGCTTAACTGGGTCGTTATAAATCAAATCATTTTTCACAAAAAAGTTTTCGTAACTCTGGATTTCTAAAATTTTATTTATTTATTTATTTATATTTCAGTCAATAAATACATAGATTCTTACTGAATATTTCCAATGGTTGCCTTTCGCACTCACCTTGCACACACACAGTTTCTTTCCGCTTTAAGGAAATACGTTGGTTTTCAATTTTTATGTATTTTGCTTAATAGTTTGCTCATATATTCAAAGTATATTTTGGATGACACAGTTAAAAAGATGTTTTAAAATTGCTGATATTAAGGGGGCGCGTGCGCGTTGTCCGACTTGAGTAGCTGAACTGGTTTGTGCGGATTTTCGCACGACAATTGGGAGGCGGCCGTGCGCGCTCGGTAATTATTTTCGGAGTCGCGTCGACTCCACTGCCGCCAAAGTGCGCGCGCACGGCCGCTGAACTCGGCTTAAGCGGCGGCTTAGACATCGTCCCCACCCTGCAGGAATGCGTTGCTGAGCGCCTCCTGCAGCTCTTTCAGGGCGCGGATCGTGTTGCCAATGACGCGGTGGGTGGTGCGGCCCTGGAAATTGGCCGTTTGTAGGCCTTGGGGAGTGCGCGCGATCGTCCGGTGGGCGGTCTTCTTGCGCGGCGGTTGCGGCGCCTGGTTGCGCGGGTTCTTCTGCGCCTTCTTCTGCCCACCTTTCTTCGGCGGTGCCCTCCGCTTGATGGGCTTGCATGATGTCGATTTGGCCCGGTTGGGCTGCTGGTTTCGTTGGCCTGTGCGCGCGGGCCTGTTAGCTGCCACATGCAGCAGCGTATGGTGCGCTAAGCCACAGGTCTTGCAACTACCCGGCGAGTCGCATTCCCCGGTAGTGTGGGTGAGCGCAAGGCAGTTGACGCAGTAGCCTTGCGCGCGGGCTACTCCCAACCGTTGCGGCGGCTTCATCGCCTTGAAGGCCGGGCACGTCCGCAATGCGTGGTAACGGTGGCAGAGCCGGCATTGTAGGCAGTTGTCTGTCTCTGCCGTTGGAGCCAGGGGGCACGCCTTCCGTGCTGCCATGATGTCTTCGATCTGGAAGTAGAAGCAAAGGCAGAGAA